TTATATCCTGATTAGTAGTTCTTTGATTTTAAAATATAATATATGAATAAATACTAATTATAGTTTTTAAATTTAGTATGAAATTGTGAGGCCAGCTATGATGTATGGTTCATAGTGTTGGGCGGTTGATAAGAAAGTAGAGCAGAGAATAAGTGTAGCAGAGATGAGAATGCTTAGTTGGATGAGTGGAGTGACTAGAGAAGATAGGATAAGGAACGAGCATATAAGAGGAAGTATAGGTGTTGCGTCAATCGTGGATAAGATGACAGAAAATAGACTTAGATTGTTTAGTCATGTTATGAGGAGAGAAGAATCGAAAGCTGTAAGAACAGTTATAGAAATGAATGTTGAAGGAAGAAGAGATAGAGGAAGACCAAAAAAGAGATGTAGGGATGTTTTTAAATGCGATATGAGGAGGACTGATGTAAACGTAGGTGTTGTGGGAGATCGTGTCAATAGGATAAGAAGGCCAACGCCATGTAGTTTGGATTAAGGCGAAGAAAAAGAAGAAAAAGATTTAACTTTAAAAGTTGAAAAACGACTCTTAGCTTTACCTTACATAATCGAACAATAAAAAATGATTTTAAGTGATTTTTGACAAAAAATGAATTTTAAATAAAATAAACTTTTTTTAAACGAGTTAAGTTGAAAAAAATTTTTAACATAGATAGTTAAATTTATAATTTGTTAACTTTTAACTGTTAATTGATCGACATTGATCATACTTAACTTAATTAAACTTGAGTTAATTATTTTCATTAACTTGCCCATCTTTGTATAAAATGTATTTCATATATATTTAAACATTTAAAATATTTAAGTATTTCATGTTAAGTTCTTATTAATATTAATCAATCATGAATTGAGTTGATAAAATATATTAACTAATTTACCAGTAGTTATTGCGATTGTTTAAAGTATAGTATAGTATTGAATGCGATTAGAGGACAGCTGATGTGAGCGTAGAAGATGTGGGAGATCGTGTCAAGTGGAATCTTAGGATAAGGGTGCCCGACCCCAAGTAGTTGGGATTAAGGCAAAGAAAAAGAAAAATATTACCAGATATTCCGGTGGCAATTGANATGCCCGACCCCAAGTAGTAGGGATTAAGGCAAAGAAAAAGAAAAATATTATCAGATATTCCGGTGGCAATTGACATAATATGATTGTTGTTTCGGAATGTACAATTTAGCGTTTAGTTGGGTTTAAATAATATAGCGTCAAATCAATTACCTACTCTATCGGTTGTATATTAATTTACACTACACTTTAATGATACAATAAATAAATAAACTCACACATACACACATATGCATTTATAACATTGTGTCTAATGTAAGTATAACATGATAAAAAGTAACCGTAAAATGAAAAAAATGGAATATAAATTTTATTACTCATATTAAATGTAATGTAACTCGAAAAATATTTGTTTAAATGAAAAAATATAAGAAAATATTTTTGTTTATAATTGTCTTTTAAACAACTTTTGTACGAAACTTTTTTTTGTAAGTTAAATTTTTTTTTTTGAGAAAATTAAGAAAGCTCATATTTTTGAACTTTTGGGAGGCTGTAAAAAAAAAGCTCAATTCCAATCTTGAGGACTATTAGTATGTCATTATACATATTTTAATTCAACTTTTAAAAANGATGTAATAACTAACTGTTTAATTGATAAATTAGAATTTTTTTTTCAATTTTTGAGAGTAATATCTTCAACTAGATACGAATTGTAGTAATTGGACGTATCGTTGAAAAAAGTAGGTCAAGTTAGAGCATAGAAAATAAATGATATTCACAAAAAAACATCTTCTTGGCTTTGCATCGAAGCTAAAACTTAAAATATAGTAAAATAATTTTAATACGAATAAGAAATTTATTCTTGCAAGGGGCGACTAAAGTGATGGGATCATTGATCTTTATTGAAGTTATTGAATCTAAATGAGATAAAAATCAAACGAGTTAAAATTTATACTAACTTAAAAAGAATTTTAAAAAAATGCAAAAAATTTATTGTCATTCGCGGGTTGGATCCTCGTACCCCAAGCGTGTACAACATGAATTTAACCAACTCGACAACCGTACGTTGCTTCCGTCGGTTAAAAAATTGGCTATTTAAGCTAGTTCAAATTTCAAAGTTATTTTTCTCGACTTAAAAGAAACGAACAAATTTAAATAAGTTTAACTTTCTATACTATATCAATTTTAATTTATATAATATTTATGAAAATCTGTAGTCCCGTTGTCAGGTATTTTAAAATAAAATAAAATACAAAACCCAGAATTTTAACACAAAAATAGCAAATTTTTGAATACGGTAGTCATTTTTACCATGAAGACAAATCCAGAGGTCAAATTTTTTTTTTTCACATTAAAGTATATTACATAAGCTTTAATTTAAGATATATTTAAAAGTGTCAGTATTTCCGGAATACTTTCAAAAATTAAATTGAAAATATCGTAGTAACAATACGCATGTTTAAAGTTTTGACCCCCCTTGTTAAAGGGGTATGATCCGATTTACAAAAAAAGCGTGCCAGATGAAAGGGGTATATCAATATTTATTATAAAAAAATAATAATATAGATCCATACATTTTTCCAAAAGTTATATAAAATATAAATTAAATAATATAACATATAAAATCGAGATTTTTTTCACGGAAATCGTACGTTTTTCTTTAACTTTGATGTCCGTTTTCACCACGAAGACAAGTCCAGAGGTCAAATTTTTTTTTTTCAAATTAAAGTATATTACATAAGCTTTAATTTAAGATATATATAAAAGTGTCAGTCTTTCCGGAACATTTTCAAAAGTTAAGTTGAAAAAGTTCTACTTTCTATACGCATTTTAAAAGGTTTGCACCCCCCCTGTATAAAGGGAAATGGTCCGATTTTAAAAAAAAGTATGTCGAATGAAAGAAGTATATATAAAGTATTTATCATTAAAGAATAAAGTTGATTCATGCATTTTTTAAAAAGTTATAGCAACATAATGTTAAAAAATGTAAAATATAATATCAAGAATTTTTTCACAAAAATAGCATATTTTTGCATACGGTAGTCATTTTCACCATGAAGACAAGTCCAGAGGTCAAATTTTTTTTTTTCAAATTAAAGTATATTACATTAGCTTTAATTTAAGGTATATATAAAATTGTCAGTCTTTCCGGAACATTTTCAAAAGTTAAGTTGAAAAAGTTAATTTTTTGTAAAAAAGTTACCATTTTGAAAGCCCATCCTTTGGGCGGTTACAGGGTCAAATGTTCACAAAAATATATAAAATGACAGGTAATTATCTAAGGTATCTATAAAAAAAAAAAATTATATTGATTTGATCATTTTTAAAAAAGTTATGGCAATTTTAAGTAAAAAAAATTGAAAAAATATCGAAAATTAGCGATTTTTAAATTTGTAATTTTTTGGGGGATTTCCCCCGTTTACGGGGAACGAGGGAATTTTTTTCAATTTTTGAGGGTAATGTCTTCGACTAGATACGATTTGTGATCTTTTGACATATTGTTCATCAAAATCGGTCCAGCGAGAGCTGAGATTGAGCGTTCACAGACACAAAAAAAAAAATAAAAAAATAAAAAAAAAAATCATAGTAAAATTAATACCTTCTCAGCTTCGCATCGAAGCTAAAATTAATTCGTTAATAATATTAATATCTAATATTGGTGTAATCCAAAAAAAAATCATCTGAAAATCTTTGGATAGGTAATAAACTGATAGACTCGACAGAATTTCATAAAATTAATTCAATGATATTTCATGAAATCGACATTACGAAGTGGACAGTAAACACCTGCTTCCCTTACCAATGTACTATTTCCAAGCTAGTTAAATGTATTATATTGCCGTTTAAAAAATAAAGTTAATATTTTCATATACCGAAAAAGTATTTTATAACTGATCAATCGAGAAAAAACTAAATGATTCTTTTAACATAATCCACCAATATCTGAAATATGAAATAAGTATTATATAGTTAAAAGTGTGTTTTTCAAGTTATTTATTTTTAAAATGTAGAAAGTAGAACACATTACAGTAATGCGCATTGAAAAAAGTAATAATATTATCTCATAAACTATTTAACGATTGAAAACATTTAATAAAAGTTTAAGATTAAAATGTTTAATCTAAAATAATGGCATAAATATTAAAAAAAATAAATAAAAAATAAAAACACGAATAAAGTATTCCTTTATGTAATATTTTTAAAAATGTATGTGGAAATAGCACCACGTCGAAGATTCCTGGACCCTCACACATTCATTTATTAATGAAACTAATTGATATAATGTATTTAAACTAGAATTTTGAATGCGTTGTAATCATTTGGTACATGTTTTAATTTATCAAATATTTATCATTTATTAAATACAAAGCGAGAAACAATATTTCATTATTAAGCACTGCCAGAAAAGAAGAATTAAATTTTTTTTTTATATAATTAAAGTATCAAAAAATGATTCCAACGTTTTTGGTGTCAACAGTAGTTGTGTTAAATATTGACAACATGTCCCCAAATTACATATCCGTGACTTTTTAGTAATTTTTTTTGTGTCCTTTTGAGTTTAATATTTTTAATATAGTTTTAATTTTAAATAAAATTATTCACAAATTTAGTCCTGAGTTGATTTATAAATCACGATACTAATAATAAAGCAGTTATTTAAATTATTGTATAAATAATAAGGTTCTGTTCCTGTCATAAATAAATAAAATGTTTACATATTTTTATGTGATATTAAATATTAAAAACAAAATTAAATTTAGTTACTTTTTTTAGCTATTTTAAAAATACTTAAATTAACACTAAAAAACAAAGTATTATTATATTAGTAAATAGAATTTTAATAAATCTGTCATAAATTTTTATTAAAAATTAAATTAAATTTCATACATTTATTTTATTGCTATTTTAAAAATACTCAAAAAACTGCGTTACTGACACTAAAAAAACACAGTATTGTTATAAAGTAAATAGAATTTCAATTAATCTATCATTTCATCTTTTTTATTAACAGTTTCATTCGAAAACACTGATTTGTCAAATCAAAAATGTATTTCTATAATTTTATTGTTATATATCTAGCAATTAGTATTTCAAACGGATTTTTTTTTAGAGATCCACCATTGAATAAGGTAAACACAATATTATTTAATTTTGAATAAAAATTAGTTGTTAAATATTTTCTAAGTAGAAAATTTCATTTTTAGGAATATCTAATATTTATTCAGTTATACATTATTTTTATTTTATCTTAATTAGTTATAAGATTTTCCGAAAAAAAACTTTTTAGTACATAAATCACTTGGCTATACTATGCATCAATTTGAATTCAAATTTACTTTATGCATGCAAAAGTTGTTACAGTTTTATTTAAGGAACAAAATTTCATAAAGATAATTTAATAATAGTATAAATTCAGTAATTTATTAAGATAAAAGACCAATTATTTTATTATAATGAAATTTTTTTACCAAATATCTATGATTCTTAAGTTATGAAATAATGTTTTTTTATTTAAAATAATAGAATTAACGTTATTTTTTTTAATTTATTTGTTTTTATAAATAAATCTAAAGATTTGAAGCCACATTATTATATTTTGAACTACATGGCTCGACTGAAAGGTCAAGTTGGCTAATGTTATGATTTTTTTTTTATGATATAAGACGCCCAGTCATCAAGTTCAATCTTCAAAATATATAAAAAGGGAATTGTACCTCTGAAATAAATATTGAAAAATATTAAATTAATTTAGATTATTTAATTCTTGAAAAATGAACTTTCCAATAAATGTATAGATAAAAGATAAATAAGTAGCATTATTTAAGTATTTATTTACATATTTTAATTATTATTGAGAATAAAATTGCTCAAAAAAGAACGGAATCCTGGAATGAGTTATTTTTGTATGAATGATATTTGGTAAAACTCCTTTTAAAAATGATGAAACAAGTAACGTAAACGAATTTATTTTTATGAAGCTAATGAAAAAAATTTAGTTCCTTAAAATTTTAATGTTTCTATCATTTTTTTATTTATTTCTAGGTGTTTTATATATAAATGATTTTTTACAGTGACTATTAATAATAATTTTTGCATTGAAATCTGAGAATACTAATTATATCACAATTGAAAGATAATAGAGATATCTTCTTTATGATATTATAATTTGACACGACTTGTGTCGCAAAAATGTGGTCGACACTGGTTTAGAGGGTAGAGACCCGTGGGCCGTTTATTAAATGAGTGACAACAAATTATTTTAATAAAAATAAACAAACCGAAAAGATAAACACAGTAATAATAATCTTCGCATAATATCGCGGCACTTTCGCTGGCGTCGACGACGCGATGTCCGGCGTAATCCTTGAACGGCAAAATGGTTAGCAGCGTTGTAGACGACGGTGCGCGGGTGCGGTTCGGTTGGTCGGCGTTGTCGCTTTCACAACGGGAGGAAGACTCCCGCACCATTTGCGGCGGGTCGTCGTCGGCCGTGCGGCATTTGCTGGACTTTGCACCGTGGCGTATGGCACGCGGTGTTGGTCAGTCAAATACTCATAGTAGGGCGACGGCTGATAAAGGTGGCACGAGTCGCGGGGCATCGTGTATAACGAAGCGACGCGGTTCGTGTCAAATTTTAATAGACTAATAAATATAGTTTAAAAAACTAAAAAAACACGCTTTTAAAGCACATCGAACTATAAAGTTAAAAATAATTTTTTAAATAATTATGAACAAAAAATACTAGTTTTATTGTGATAAAAGCGTNCATACATACATACATACATACATACATACATACATACATACATACATACATACATACATACATACATACATACATACATACATACATACATACATACATACATACATACATACATACATACATACATACATACATACATACATACATACATACATACATACATACATACATACATACATACATACATACATACATACATACATACATACATACATACATACATACATACATACATACATACATACATACATACATACATACATACATACATACATACATACATACATACATACATACATACATACATACATACATACATACATACATACATACATACATACATACATACATACATACATACATACATACATACATACATACATACATACATACATACATACATACATACATACATACATACATACATACATACATACATACATACATACATACATACATACATACATACATACATACATACATACATACATACATACATACATACATACATACATACATACATACATACATACATACATACATACATACATACATACATACATACATACATACATACATACATACATACATACATACATACATACATACATACATACATACATACATACATACATACATACATACATACATACATACATACATACATACATACATACATACATACATACATACATACATACATACATACATACATACATACATACATACATACATACATACATACATACATACATACATACATACATACATACATACATACATACATACATACATACATACATACATACATACATACATACATACATACATACATACATACATACATACATACATACATACATACATACATACATACATACATACATACATACATACATACATACATACATACATACATACATACATACATACATACATACATACATACATACATACATACATACATACATACATACATACATACATACATACATACATACATACATACATACATACATACATACATACATACATACATACATACATACATACATACATACATACATACATACATACATACATACATACATACATACATACATACATACATACATACATACATACATACATACAAGTGAAACTAATAAAAGCGTGTTAATATGAGCACTTTTGTTGAAAAAATAATTTTTGATAATCCGTGTACGCTAAGCAATTTTCAGAGAAAAGCGTTTTTAACACGCTTTTATTAGTTTCACATGTATTTTGTATATTGTTTGTATGTTGTTTGTATGTTGTTTGTATGTTTGTAACTCCACGCGGCACGTGTTATTATGTCTCGTATCCCGTCGTCTATGACCTTGAGACTAGACCGTCGTAGCGCATTCACCCCACCCCGCTCACCAGTCGGCGACTACACTATTTTTCTGTATAATTTTTTTCTGTATAATTTTGAGTATTTGACTGACCAACAGCGCGCGTTTACGCCGCGGTGCAAAGTCCAGCAAGTGCCGCACGGCCGACGACGTACCGCCGCTAATGATACCGTAGTATTCTTCCTGTTGTCAAAGTGAATAAACCGATCTCCACTCGCGCACCGTCGCCATCAACGCTGCTAACCTTTTGACGCCCGAGGATCACGCCGGACATCGCGTCGTCGACGCCAACGAATGTGCCACGATATTATGCGAAGATTATATATTCTTACCATCGCCGCTAATATTAATATATATATACATATATATATTATTATTTATATATACGTATATGTTAATATTCATTTATATATCCCTACAGCCGACGCCGCTGCCGCCATATATGCCTCGCGCCCCGCCCGCCAACAAAACACAGCTATACCTCGTGCATGATACGTTTACGTAATTAAGTCGCTTTACATGTATATATATATTCTATTTACTATTAAAACTTATATATTAATACGCTTTATTCTCATTAAGAGATATATAGGGTATTTATTCCGATTACAAAGGATGATTCCCGTATCGTCATTTTACGTCACTACCTCCACGTTGCGCGCCTGCTGCTTTCCTTGGATGTGGTAGCCGTTTCTCAGACTCCCTCTCCGGAATCGAACCCTGATTCCCCTTTACCCGTTACAACCATGATATTGATAGTAACTACTATCATAACATGTAACTAAAAAGTGAAAAATAAATATAGTTTAAAAAAACTAAAAAACACGCTTTTAAAGAACATCGAACTAAAAAGTTAAAAATAATTTTTAAAATAAGCGTAAAACAATAATGAACGAAAAGTACTAGTATTATTGTGATAAAAGCGTCGGGCGCTCAATATACGAAAAATATAGCACAAAGCACCCACGCTTTTATCACAATAATACTAGTACTTTTCGTTCATTATTGTTTTACGCTTATTTTAAAAATTATTTTTAACTTTTTAGTTCGATGTTCTTTAAAAGCGTGTTTTTTAGTTTTTTTAAACTATATTTATTTTCTTTGTTCTATTATATAATGAGATAATATATTAAAAGTTTTGTACGATATTAAATAAATTATTATACAAAACTACACAAAGTAGGGCTCTAAAGAGGATTTATCTCGCTTATCATTTAATTCAAATGATTCCTATGCACAGGGTGATTAAATTGTACCTTATACTGTAATTTTGAACTAAAGTTGTCACATCAAAATAATAATAGCAGATTTAAAATTTTTTTTTAACAAAATAGGAACGAGATCCATTAATAAAGAAATTTTCCCAATACTGACTTTAATAAATAAAAAGTTTACATTTTTGTTAAACTTTTGTTCTGTTATGATTTCATTTTTTATTATGTTTTTTTCTATTTAATTTAACTATTTTTATGTAAAAAAAAATATTTTAATAATTAGTTTTTAGATTTTTCTTTCTTTTTAAAATTTTAACGTATAAAAAATGTATTTTTTAACGTTTATCTAATGTTGTTTTAACTTTTGAAAAATAAACGAATCACCACAATTTTCATTTATAAATCTCTTAAGTATTTTCTTTTTATATAGTATATTTGTTTTGAAAATCTAACACTTAACCGTTAATTTGGGGGACAAATTTTGTATGAAAATCTGACCGAAATATTTCGAACTACAAATATATAAAAATTTATATTTTAATCAGTAAAAAAAAAAATTCTACTAAAGACTTGTTTTTTATATATGAACGTAACTCGGAGTTATAAAAAAATGTAGTTTTTATATAAAAAATTATTGTTTATCGTGTTGTCCTTTCAACAATATGTATATAAAAAGATAATAAAAATTTCCAAAAAAAAATTGCCGTTCCCATAGTTTATGATAAATAACAATTTTAATTTCATTACTGTAGTAATAATTAACTAAATAGTGTTAGAATAATTGAACTGTAATTTCTAATTTTTCATATACTTTCTCCGGAAAAATTACAATACTAAATTATTAATTATCAATTTCTAAAATTAATTACTATAATAAGAATTTATTAATGAATTATACTTATAAATCATAAAATTTTACTTAGGATTTACTTAAGGAAATAGGATATATTTGCTTTCTGACAATAATTCCTTTTAAAAATTAAATATTATCAACAAATTTGAGTCGAAATATTTTTTATGATAATGATTTTAATCTTTTTCAGATATCATCTATACTTTTACCAATTATACAACGTCAGTACTGTGCCATAAACCTGCTGTGCCTAACACAATAGGGTTGTGACACAGTATTTATAGTTATTTCTAAAAATTAAAAAATTAAAATTTACAAAGGTATTATTATTACTTCATATAATTTTAATTTTAGAACGGAAAATTAAATACCGAAAGCAAGGATTTCTTAATAAAATATTTTAATGCGAATAAAACAAATAGACATTTGACCTATGAGAGTTTTACAAGACTATTTAACAGTTATAAATGGCTACATGGTATGGAGGATAGTGATATCGACAAATTATTCACGGATGAAGTCAAAAGCAGTAAGCAAAACTCTTATTACAATTATAAATATCAATTTTATTTTCAACAAATACTATTAAATAAATTGCTTTAAATTTAATGTATCGGCATATTTTTTCACTGTATTGTTTAAAAAAGTAGGTACAACAACATTTGATTTGAGATTAAATAAAGAGAACCTTTCTCTTACATTGTTCATTCTTTAAATCATATTAATAAATGAAATCATTATTTATGCTTATTTTATTTCAAGCATCACAATTTTATTATAATATTTATATTTTTTCATAAAATTTGTTTTATTTTTAATATAATTTAAAATATATAAATAAGTTCTATTGTGAACGCATACAAGACTTACAACACACCTGATTCTAAAGGGCATGCTTCAAATTTAATTATAGTGTTTATTCATAAAACAATTACAATTTTTTGTTTGAAGGGGGGCTATTTTTAGTAAAATTTTATATTTTTATATTTCTTATAATTAAGATTACATTTTTTTTTATATTTCTGCCATTGTACTTGCGTTTTTAGGAGAAGGACAACTTAAGTCCTTAATCTAGTTTATCTTTGATGCGAATCTGAGAAGGTATTAATTTTACTGTAATGTGTTTTTATTTTATTTTTTTTGTGTCTTTGAAAGCTCAACTCTCGCTGGACCGATTTTGATGAGCAATATGTCAAAAGATCACAAATCGTATCTAATCGAAGACATTACCCTCAAAATTTGAAAAAAATTATCATTCCCCGTAAACTGGAGAAACCCCTAAAAAAAATTACAAATTTAAAAATTGCTAAATTTCGACATTTTTTCAATTTTTTTTACTAAAAATTGCCATAACTTTTTTAAAAATGACTGAATCAATATATATATATATTTTTATAGATACCTTAGATATTTAACTATTATTTTATATATTTTTGTGAACATTTGACCCTTTACCTGTCCACAGGGGGGATTCAAAATGACAACTTTTTCAAAAAAAATTAACTTTTCCAACTTAACTGTTTAAAGTGTTCCGGAAATTGACGCTTTTATATCTTAAATTAAAGCTAATGTAATGTCCTTTATTATAAAAAAAAAACTTCGGACTTTATTTTGTCATCACGGTTATAGTGGCTATCAAATGCTATTTTTGTGTAAAAATTCTCGATTTTATATTTTATATTTTTAACATTATATTTATATAACTTTTTGAAAAATGTATGGATCAATACAGTTTTTTTATAAGAAATACTATTTATATAAATCAATTTTTTAAAATTTAACACTATCTATAAATTTGCATCGAAGCGATTTTTATGATAGTTATTTTAATCACTGTCATATATCATCTATACAGGACTCAACTATGCTGCATCCCCACTGTGTCGCGACCCCACTGTACTGGGTTTTTTTTTTTATTTTTGGCCTTTTTAAAGGTTGGGTGATCGCGTTGTGGTAATTATAACGAGTTTTTTAAGTTAGCTCGTCTTTGTAATTTATTACATTTCATATAGAGGTGAAGATTTTAAAATAAAAAGTATTGAGGAGATTAACCCATACTAATCTGTGACAAGTACACAAGTTTTTTAATAACATTCAATATTTCAAGTTGATTTATGTATTTTAAATAGTTATATATTCACATTAAAAAAAAATTAATATAATATATTAAAATAAATTATTCAGAAAATCAATAAATAATTATATATATTAAAAAATACATTTATATATTTTGGGCTAAGCCAGTGCACTAAATTGCAATTACCTTGGGAAACTAAGAAGTGGCATATTTGGGTTATTTTTTAATATCATTTTTTAATTTTTTAGATAGTATATTAATCTATATCTGGTATAGATTATTTTTTATAATACTAGTAATAGTATATTAATAATATATTAAAATAAATTATACAGAAAATCAATATATATATATATATATATTAAAAAATATATAAAAATATATTTTTATATTTTGACTGTAGCCAGTACGCCAACTTGCAGTCAACTTGTGCGACTCTGTATGAACTACAACATTCGGGATATCTATGAAAAATATTTATAGGTTTCCAAATAGTATAAAATTCTGTATATGGTATTAATTATTTTTTATAATACTGTAATAAATAATATATATAGTGATATTCAAATGTCGACCAGTGATTATTTTAATTGAAATTAATACTGATATAAGAATTTTAACACATAATGTTTACTTTATTAAGAAAAAGGATTAATGAAATTGAATACATTTTTGAAACAATCGACGGAGTGTATCAAAAAAACTGAGTCTCTGTATACGTTGCGTTATAATAATTCTCTCAACGAAGAAAAGAAGATGACTTTAAATGAATTAAAAAAAGCTCTTTTAGTAAAAGAACTCGGTATCGCAGAAGAACTTGTTACTACATTAATAACAGATTACAATTTTACAAACGAACAAGATATCAGCTTTATAGGTAAAAAAATTATTACGTATAGTTTTTTAGACTTATACTACCCATCTAAAGCCAATGTAATATCTTTCAAAAAGTTTCCCTAACTCCTCGATCAAAGGCTAATCCATTGACAGAATGGTGAATAGCAATTCCAGTTACTGAATTTATTTATAGACAAATGAAACTATTTGTAATTGTTTCCATAGGCTAACTATTAAATATTATTCAATGTCACTTTTACGACTTGATTTTTTTTCCCCATTATATGTAATAAGGATTACTAATTTTAATTGATATAAATAAAATTTTCACTAAACAAAATTTTTAATTAAGTAACATAAAATAAATGGTCAAAATATTTTTATAATATTATCGATAATTGCTTTATCAAAAAAATTATATTTCATAAAAAGTAATTTAATTAAGTTATCAAGTTGAATTAATCCGTGTATTAAATAAAAAAACTGGCTTCTAGTGACTTTTAATTAATTAATGATATATTTGTTTATTTTTTAGAATTCAGAAAAATATTTATGTTAATAATATATGGCCATAACTTAATCAAACCAATTAAAAATGATTTATAAGATATGAAAGGAATAAATTAACTACAAATATATTTAGAATTTTAATACAAATTATTACGTTATAAATGTTTTCTAAATTATTTGATAGTATAAAATATTTAAAGAATACATCATAAGACAAGATATTATTTTACCAGACTAGATAAATAAAAAAGTCAAAAATGTGTTTTAATTTTAAATTTTAAAAATCATTTTCATTTGTGATTCAAAATATTTTTTTCTTCAAATACTAAACAATATGTGCCTATTAAATTATATCGTCAAATAAAACTAAAAATTATTAGAAATTTATATTATTTTTGAACACCAGTCATTGCGGTGATGGTACTGAAGGGCAGAGAGAAAGTGCGTCCTAGCAGTCAATATTTTGGGAAAGCTAAGTTATCATGTAAAAAATACATTGTTTCAACTCTTTTTCTGGAAACGGACCAAACATCCGTTCAAGAGTATTGTTTTGGAAATCCCTCCATGATTATGGGTAATATCCCACATAAACTTAAAATTTAGAAAAAAAAATGACAAATTTATCTTAATAAAAATAAACTGTTGATACACAGATAAGTATTTAATTACATATTTTAATTATTGTTGAGAAGAAAGTTGTTCAAAAACGGATTCCTAGAATGAGTTATTTTTGTATGAATGATATTTGGTAATAAGGTTATTAAATAATAAGGTTCTGTTCCTGTCATAAATAAATAAAATGTTTACATATTAGCTTCGATGCAAAACGGAGAAGGTATTAATTTTACTAAGATGCGTTTTTTTTTTTTTTTTATGTCTGTTGCCACTTTTTCTCAGCTCTCACTGGACTGATTTCTTTCAACGATACGTCAAAAGATCACAAATCATATCTAGTCGAAGACATTACCCTTAGAAATTGAAAAAAATTCCTCCGTTCCCCGTAAATGGGGGAAACCTCCAAAAAAATAACAAATTTAAAAATCACTAATTTTCGAAATTTTTTTACCTAAAATGTACCGTAACTTTTTCAAAAATGAACATATCAATATAATTTTTTTTTTATAGATTTTTGTTGTCTTTACCTATCATTTGATAAATTTGTTTTGTAAATTTGACCGTTTATCTGCCCAAAGGGGGAGATTTAAAAAGACAACTTTTTCACAAAAAATTAACTTTTTCAACATAACTTTTGAAAATGTTCCGGAAAGACTGACACGTTTATATATACCTTAAATTAAAGCTAATGTAATATACTTTAATTTGAAAAAAAAAATTTACCTCTAGACTTATCTTCACGGCGAAAATGACTATCGAATGCTATTTTCGTGTGAAAATTCTCGATTTTAGTTTTTATATTATATTTAACTTTATAATGCTATAACTTATTGAAAAGTGTATGAATGCACACAATTTTTTTATGAGAAATAATATTTTTTAATAAACCATTTTTCATTCGACATACTTTATCTTAATCGAGATATTAATAAGTAACCAGCAGATTATGTAGCTTTTGGAATAAAACACCAATTTTTTTTAAATTATACGCTATCTAAAGATTTGCATCGAAACGTTTATTTTTGATAGTGATTTTAATCACTGTCAGATATTATTATAGTTGATCCAACTATACCACGGCACCACTGTGCGCGACCCCCCTGTGCTGGATTTTTTTAATACATTACTACTAATAATAATTTTACTTTACAAAAATGCTATCATTTAAATATCAAAAAAATATGATAAGTATGTCTATTTTAAATAACACTTTTTAGAATTAAGTATAATATTTTATCAAATTCAAAAAAAAATGATAGAATGATAATATGAACAAATGTAAAATATAACAAATTTGTCACTTTTCATGCACAAATGTTTATTTTATAAATAAGGTATTTAAATATTTAATTCAAACGCACAATTAAAATTATTATTAGCTAATGGGTAATAGATAATTTATTAGTTAAATCAAGTAAATATGACAGTATTTGCTTAAAAGTCTAAGCCGAATAATTAGATCATTAGTATATAAAAATTAATTCGCTAATAATATTAATATCCAATATTGGTGTAATCCAAAAAAAATCATCTGATAAACTTCGGATAGATTATAAACGGATAGACTTGACAGAATTTCATAAAATCAATTCTAAGGTCAGATATTTAATGAAATCGACATTTCAAAATGGACAGAAAACACATGCTCCTCCTTTCCCATATACTACTTCCAATTTATTTTTTTAAATGTTGAAAACTTCCAAAGTATAAGTTGATATCGACTAATATTAATTTGATACTTTTCTATTTTATAAGCAAAATAAATATATTATATTGTAGTTTAAAAAATAAATTTAATATCTCTAGATAGCGAATAAGTACTTAATAACTAAAGAATTGAGAATTATACAGAGTGATTCTTTTAACATTATCTACTGATATCTGAAAATATTAGTTAAAGTATTAAATATTTAAAAATGTACTTTTGAAATAATTTATATTTAGAATGTAGAGTGGAAGTAAAGCGCACAGAGTAATGCGTACTGATAAAAGTATTAATATTACCTCAAAGACTTTGTAACGACTAAAAAACATGTAAAAATGGTTTAAGATTAAACTGTTTAACCTAAAGTAAAGGAATAAATATTAAAAAAAAATCTAACAAAAAATTATAACAACACAAAAAAAGTAATCCTTTAAATAATATACTTAAAAATGTATGTGGAAATAGCAACATGCCGAAGAGTACAGGCTCCCTGACACTTTCTTTTAAAGATATAACTAATTTGATATAATGTATTTAATCTAGCATTCTGAATGCGTTATAATAATTTGGTACATTTTTTATTTTTATTTATCAGATATTAACATTTATTGGCCGCAAAGTGGAAAATAATATTTCATTACTAAACACTACCATAAAAGAAGAATTATACTTTTTTCGTATAATTCAAACGTCAAAAAATGATTCCAACACTTTGAATGTCGACAGTAATCTCATTTCCTGAGTTGTATTATAAATCACGATACTAATAATAAACCATTGAGGTAAATAAGATTAAAAGTGAAAAAACATGTGGCGTCGTACATTAATAGCTAATATAATTAATGATTTTCTTACTTTTTTAGTTGTTTAGAAATTAATTTTAATGATTTACTTTAACTAAATGTACCAATCAAAACAAAGTTGCTAAGAAGATTTACTCATTGAGCGTATTATAAAATTTGATTATATTTGAAAAAATCAATTGTTAATTCAGGAGAAAAAACAATCATTTTTTTTAAAAATGATTTATAAAGCATCATGTTACCAAAAAATTTGTAATATTATAGTAGTAGCACACACAGAGTAAAAAAATTATTAAATTACAAAGTAAAATGATTAAATTTTGTAGTTAAACCTATCATATCAAACTTAATTCGTCAATAAATACTTTGAAAACATTAGAAATTAATGATTTTAATTGTCTTTATGGAGAACATGGAATAACTAACTGTTTAATTGATAAATTGAAATTTTTTTTCAATTTTTGAGGGTAATATCTTCAACTAGATACGAATTGTAGTAATTTGACGTATCGTTGAAAAAAGTAGGTCAAGTTAGAGCGGAGAAAATAAATGATAGTCACAAAAATATATCTTCTCAGCTTTGCATCGAACCGAAAACTTAAAATATAGTAAAATAATTTTAATACGAATAAGAAATTTCTTCTTACAAGGGGCGACTAAAATTATGGGATCCTTGATATTTATTGAAGTTATTGAATCTAAATAAGATAAAAATCAAACGAGTTAAAAATTTATACTAACTTAAATTGAATTAAGAAAAAATGCAAAAAATTCATTGCCATACGCGGGTTGGAACCTCGTACCCCAAGCGTGTAAAACATAAGTTTTCCCAACTCGGCAACCGTACGTCGATACCTTCTGCTGAAAAAATTGGCTATTTAAGCTAGATCAAATTTCAAAGTTATTTTTCTCGACTTAAAAGAAACGAACAAATTTAAATAAGTTTAACTTTCTATGCTATATTAATTTTTTATTTATATAATATTTATGAAAATCTGTACTCCCCTTGTCAGGTATTTTAAAATAAAATAAAAAAAACAAAACCCAGAATGTTAACACAAAAATAGCAAATTTTTGAATACGGTAGTCATTTTTGCAATGAAGACAAATCCAGAGATAAAATTTTTTTTTTTCAAATTAAAGTATATTACATAAACTTTAATTTAAGATATATATAAAAGTGTCAATATTTCTAGAAAACTTTTGAAAATGTCCTAGTTTCAATACACATGTTTAAAGTTTTGACCCCCTTTGTATAAAGGGGTATGATCCGATTTACAAAAAATGCGTGTCAGATGAAAGGGGTAAATTAAAATTTACTATAAAAAAATAATAATATTGATCCATACATTTTTCCAAAAGTTGTATAAAATATAAATTGAATAATATAACATATAAAATCGAGAATTTTTTCACGGAATATAAGGGAAGCAATAGAAATTATTAAAAATAAGAACAATTAATTGGGATCCTGGCTCACTGAAGAATTCATTATTAAACTTGTGTAAACTGACAAAATGTGATAATATAATATTACTTAATGATAACGTCACTATGTGATAAGGTCACTAGGGGTATATTAGGGGTTTTTTACCGGTCGGGGTGTCAGTATGTGTGTAATGTTGATAATAGTAAGATTGTTCTCAAAATATGTATCCTTGACTTTTTAGTAATTTTTTTGCAGCTTTTTGAGTTTAATATTTTTAATTTTAAATAATATTATACACAATTTTAGTCCAGAGTTGTATTTTAAATCATGATACTAATAATAAAGCTGTGAGGTAAATGAAATTACAAGTAAAAAAACATATGTGATATCGTAAATTAATAGCTAGTATAATTAATGGTTTTCTTATTTTTCTTGTTATATAGAAAATTTATTATAACTATTTATTGATAAATTTAGTAATAATTTTTTAAAAAACCATATGCAAAACGTCAAGGCTTATTAATTGATAGACTTAAATTTCATTATTCAATGTTGACTGAAATATGAGTAAACAAAGTTTTACTAGTATTTTTAGTGCAATGATGTCAATAAAATTATTATATAAAAAATAGAGTTCTGTACCTGTCATCAATAAATAAAACGTTTACGTAGTTTTAAATAAATAATATTAAATACAAAATTAAATTTATAAATTTTTTTATTGCTATTTTAAAAATACTTAAAAAAATGGTGTTTTTGACACTAAACAAACATAGCATTGTTATATAACACTGAATTGAATTGAAAACACTGATTTGTCAAATCAAAAATGCATTTCTATATTTTCTATGTTATATATCTAACAATTAGTTTTTCAAACGGACTTCTTTTTCAATATCCACCATTTAATGAGGTAAAACAATATTATTTAATTTTTAATAAAAATTAGTTGTTTAATATTTTCTAAGTAGAAAATTTCATTTTTAGGAATATCTAAATATTTATTCAGATATACATTATTTTTATTTTATCTTACTTTGATATGAGATTTTCCGAAAAAAATTTGTTTAGTACATAAATCACTTAGCTACACTATGCATCAATTTGAATTCAAATTTACATAATGCATACAAAAATTGCTACAGTTTTATTTGAGAAACAAAATTTCATAAAAATATTTAATAATTGTATAACTTTAGTAATTTATTAAGATGTCTGATTTACATGATTCTTAGGTTTAAAAATAATATTTTTTATTTAAAATAATAGCATTAGCGTTAATTTTTTTTTCAATTTATTTGTTTTTTTTTATAATTAGATCTAAAGATTTTAAGTCCAAATTATTATATTATTGAGTTACATTGCTGTAACGACCGCAGGGTTAGCAGAAGCAATATCTCGACTGAAGGGTCGAGTTGGCTAATGTTCTGAATTTTTTTTATAATATCAGAGGCCCTCTCATCAAGTTTAATTTTCAAAAACTTTATACTTTGAATTTAATATAAATGATAATTCAATAAAATAATTGGGTTTTAACTTGTCGTATTAAATAATATTATATAAAATAAAAACTTATAATAAACACATTCAATTTTATGGCAAATTTAGAATATGTTTTCTGATATAAAAAAATTTGTATCACTTTTGTTTCCTGACATCTAAATCAATTGATGAACTTGAAGAAATATTGTTAAAAATCATAAGATTTTGTATTCCGTATGAATCAGAACTAACAGTAAATTTAATAGTCATTATCTTTTGCTCATAGAAATAAAAGAAAAAAAATAATTGATCAATTTATGAATAAGCATTATTCATAATAACAAATTATTTTATTACTAGTTATTCTAAAAATTAGGAGCTTGTATTCCATTTTTAGTTATATCAGTTACAGTAGCTACAACTGAAAGATCTTTTTCAACTCTTAAATTAATTAAAACGTATCTAAAAAAATTCTATCGCTCAAGATAGTTTAAAAATATAATAAAAAAGAAATTGTACCTCTAAAATAAATATTGAAAAATATTAAATTAATTTTGGTTATTTAAAAGCTTGAAAAATGAACTTTAACCACTCAATTTTTAAATAAAAGATAAATAAGTAGCATTATTTAAGTATTTATTTACATATTTTATTAATTATCGTTGAGAAGAAAGTAGTTAAAAAAAAGAACGGATTCCTAGAATGAGTTATTTTTGTAGGAATGATACTAGGTATAGCTTTCTTTAAAAATTAAGAAACAAGGATGGTAAACGAATTTATTTTTATGAAGACAACAAGAAAAATTTAGTTCCTTAAAATTTTAATGTTTCTAACAATTTTTTTTTTATTACTAAGTGTTATAAATAAGAATGGTTTATTACAATGACTATTAATAGTAGTTTTCGCGTTAAAATCTGAGAATCCTAATTATATCACAATGGACATATAATAGAGATATCTCCATAATGTTATCAACATGTTATAATTTTAGTATACTAATACGAGTATTTTCGTTGAAAAAAAAATTTGAAAATCTGAGCACGCTAAGTAATTTTCCGAGAAAAGAGTTTTTTTCTTTGTTCTATTATATAATAAAAAAATATATTAAAAGTTTTGTATGATATTAAATAAATTATTATACAAAAACATACAAACTAGGAATCTAAATGGGGTTTAGCTCCCTTAACATTTAATTCAAATAATTCCTGTGCACAGGATGATTAAATTGTACCTTATACTTAAATTTTAAACTAAGGTTATCACATCAAAATAATAATAATAGTAAATTTTTAATTATATTTTTAACAAAAATGGAACGAGTTCAGTTTAAAAAAGGAATTTCCCAATACTGATTTTAATAAATAAAAAGTTTATATTTGTTAAAATTTTGTTTTGTTATGATTTCATGATGATTTTAGCTTCGATGATTCTAGCTGAGAAGGTATTGGTTTTACTAAGATGTGTTTTTTTTTTTGTGCTGTTACCACTTTTACTCAGCTCTCACCGAACAGATTTCTTTCAACGATACGTCAAAAGAACACAAATCGTATCTAGTTGAAGACATTACCCTCAAAAATTGAAAAAATTTCTCTCGTTCCCCGTAAATGGGGGAAATCTTCAAAAAAATTACAAATTTAAAAATCGCTTATTTTCGAAATTTTTTCAATTTTTTTTACTAAAAACTGCCGTAACTTTTTAAAAAATGAACAAATCAATAAATTTTTTTTTTATAGATGCTTGATATCTTTATCTATCACTTAGTATATTTTTTTTGTAAATCTGACACTTAACCTGACCACAGGGGGGGATTTAAAATGACAACTTTTTCACAAAAAATTAACTTTTTTAATTTAACTTTTGAAAATGTTCCGGAAGGTCTGACATTTTTATATATATCTTAAATTAAAGCTAATGTTATGTTTTTTATTATGAAAATACATAAGGGATTACAAATACAGGTAGCTAATTGGTTTTATATAACGATATTCGCAAGTATATAGTTTTTATTATCAATGGTAATAAGATACATTGATGTGAGTTTATAAACACATTAACTGGCAATACAGAAATGATATCTATTGATAGTGATAATTGACAATAAACACTCCATGACTGTAACAGGGATGTCATAAAAAACTAAAAAGTGAAAAATAAATATAGTTTAAAAAAACTAAAAAACACGCTTTTAAAGTACATCGAACTAAAAGTTCAAAATAATTTTTAAAATAAGCGTAAAACAATAATGAACGAAAAATACTAGTATTATTCTGAAAAAAGCGTGGGTGCTTTGTGCCATTTTTTTCGTATATTGAGCGCCCGACGGCTTTTTTCAGAATAATACTAGTATTTTTCGTTCATTATTGTTTTAAGCTTATTTTAAAAATTATTTTTAACTTTTTAGTTCGATATGCTTTAAAAGCGTGTTTTTCAGTTTTTTTAACTATATTTATTATATAGTATATTTATTTTGGAAAACTGACAGTTCACTGTTAATTTGGGGAACAAATTTTGTATGTCAGATTTTCATGAGTTAAAATGAAAATCTGACAGAAATATTTCGAATTTCAAATATATGAAAATTAAAGTTTCAATAAGTAAAAAAAAAATTTTACCGATGACTTGTTTCTATATGTGAACGTACTCCAAAGTTAAAAAGAATATTTTTTTTTATATAAAAATCATGGTTTATCGTATTGTCCTTTCCGTATGGATATGAAAAAATAAAGCGGCTCCCTTTTAAAAAAATATTCTAGTTATTAAAGTTTATGATAAATTACAATTTGAATTTTATAACTGATGTAATTATTAATTAACGAGAGATAGAAAAATTGAACTATAATTTATCTTTTTTCATATACTTTCTCCGTAAAAGTTACAAATGATTTTAATCACTTTCAGATATCATTTATACTTGTCCCAATTATGCCATGTCAGTACTGTGCCATAACCCTACAGTGATGGGACTTTATAGTTATTTTTAAAAATGTATAAAGTCATATTATTATTACTTCATATAATTAATTTTAGAATGGAGAATTAAAACGAGAAAACAAGACCAAATTGGTGGAGTTTTTTTGTGATAATTTGATAAGTGATTGGGTAAAACGTATGAGCTTAGAAACATTTAAAGAGCTATTTAAAAAATTTCATTGCCTACATCATTGGGACGATGCTAAAATCTTGTCATTATACTATGAAAGTAAGTAAAATTCTAATTATAAATATAAATATCAATTTTATTTTCAACAAATACTATTAAATTAATGTTTTAAATTTAATGTATTGACATATTTTTTCGCTGTATCGTTCAAGAAAATTTGAACAAAATAAAAAAAATCATGGCTACTTTTACAATTAAAACTTTTATCACTTTAGTTTTCAGAGAACACATTATTAATTTTACATTTTATCTATTTCTATTAATGTTTTTATTCTCGTATTAATAATAAAATTTGAACAAATTTATAGCACCAATACTATAATGTAATTAGCTTCGTAATACAAATTTTAAATTTATTTTACTTAGAACATAAAATATGAATTTAGCTAATTTCAAATATTTAATTTTTTTTTCATCAATTAACAAAAGATAATTGTATACATTTTGCTAATAGTCTAGATTATCTTTCAGTATTCACTCTTAATGTATGATGAATTTCGTCACTTTTGATAAAATAAAAAAAAACCCAGCACAGTGAGGACATTGTATAGTTGAATTCATAATAGATGATATTTGACAGTGATTAAAATCACTATCATAAAAAACCCTTCGATGCAAATCTTTAGATGGTGTTTAATTTTAAAAAATTGGTGTATTATTCCAAAAGCTACATGATCTAATATATAAATATATAAATATATAAAGGAAAATGGTCCAATTTAAAAAAAAGTATGTCAAATGAAAGAGGTATATAAATATTATTTTTCTTAAAAAAATTATAATGATCCATACATTTTTCAAAAAGTTATAGGATTTTAAAGTTAAAATGTCAAATATAAAATCGAGAATTTTAACACAAAAATAGCATACAGTAGTCATTTTTAATATGAAGACAAAATAAAGTCCAAACAATTTTTTTTTCATAATAAAGCATATAACATAAGCTTTTATTAAGCTAATTAAGATATATGTATTTTAAATTAAATTGAAATTTTTAAGAAACCTAAGCAATGTATATATTTAAGAAGCCATAATATTTTTGCATTTATTCTAAGAAACTACATAAACTATTATCAGATAAATAAATCATTTTCAAACCTTAAATTTTCTTAAACTTATACTTGGATTATAATGTTTACTTATCTATCTTTTTTTAATTTAAGGATGGTTATTTAAGTTTATTTTAAAATATCGGAAGCTACTAACCATTAAAATTAAAGGTTTTAAGATACAATTTAATTAATAGAAATCAGAATTTTATTTTGTGTAACTATGTTTAAATATCATTGTACTGGTTACATATTCAATCATCAAATCAAATAGTAAAAAAATATCTTGGTAGAACAAATATGATAATTGAGTAGGACTACTCGTTCTCAAAAAAAAAAAACAGTTTAATAAAAAAAATTATAAAATATATAGAACTTCACAAATGTAATTATTACATATTGTAATTTTATGGTGTAAACTAATTTCATGAAAGAGATACAATGCCGTATTTTGTACAAGAATTAAATAGTTATATTTTTAAAGTGCTAATTGTAATTTACAATTTTATCATGATGCGATTATTTTTTAGCTTCAATGCAAAGCTGAGAAGGTATTGGTTTTACTATTATGTGTTTTTTTTGTGTGTCTGTTACCACTTCTTCTCAGCTCTCACAGAACGGATTTCTTTCAACAATACGTCAAAAGATCACAAATCGTATCTAGTCGAAGACATTACCCTCAAAAATTGAAAAAATTTCCCTCGTTCACCGTAAATGAGGAAAATCTATAAAAAAAATTACAAATTTAAAAATCGCTAATTTTCGAAATTTTCGAAATTTTTTTACCTAAAATGTACCGTAACTTTTTCAACAATGAACAGATCAATATAATTTTTTTTTTATTGATTTTTGTTGTCTTTACCTATCATTTGATAAATTTGTTTTGTAAATTTGACCCTTTATCTGCCCAAAGGGGGGGATTTAAAATGACACCTTTTTCACAAAAAATTAACTTTTTCAACTTGATTTTTGAAAGTGTTTCGGAAAATCTGACACTTTTATATATAAAGCTAAATTTAAGCTAATGTAATATACTTTATTATGGAAAAAAAAAATTTCGGACTTTATTTTTTCTTCACGGCGAAAATGGCTACCGAATGCTATTTTTGTGTAAAAATTCTCGATTTTATAATTTACATTTTTAACTTTATAATGCTATAACTTATTGAAAAGTGTAAGGATCAACACAATTTTTTTATGAGAAATAATATTTTTTAATAATTCCTTTTTCAATCGACATAATTTATCTTAATCAAGATATTAATAAGGAACAAGCAGATCATGTAGCTTTTGGAATAATACACCAATTTTTTAAAATTAAATACTATCTAAAGATTTGCATCGAAGCCTTTTTTTTTTATAGTGATTTTAATCACTGTCAAATATTATTATAGTTGATCCAACTATGCCACGTCACCACTGTGCCGCGACCACCCTGTGCTGGGTTTTTATTATTTTTTTTTTGTGTCTGTCACTACTTTTTCTCTGCTTTACTAGACAATTTTTTTTCAAAAATATGTCAAAAGATCATAAATCGTATCTAGTTGAAGACAACGCCCTCAAAAATTGAAAAATTTTTCCTAGTTCCTCGTAAATGGTGAAAATCATTTATTTGTTTATTTTAAAATACTTTATAAGGGTTTTTCGTTATAATGAGTCCACCAATTTTTATAAAATTTACATGAATTTCACTTTCCTTAATAATCTTATTTAATTATTTTGCCTCCTTAAAGTTAAGAAAAACTGCTTCGAATATTTAAACTACCATAAATTGTCATTTTTAGCTATTATTAGTGTAATTAATGGTGGCTGCGTCGTATATAATACAGTTTTATACGATTGGGGTACAATGTTTGAACCTAGCACATAGAACTTGGTTTTTTTCATTTTTTCTTAATTCTTCTTTGATGTGGAAAAAAAAATTCAGAGTTCGTTTGATTTTTATATCATATAAATTGAAGAACTTAAATAAATATCAAGGATCCCATATCTGTAATCTCCTCTTTTTTTCTATCATCTCTTTTTTGAGATTATAACTAATTAGAAATACATAAAAAAATTAATTAATCATTTTTTTATTAAACTATGAATAATTTTTAATTCATGCGAAATTTCAATTCAGATTGACATTTTTAACTAATTTTTTCAAAGTTGATTTTTATGAATGTTTATAATTTAAAAATGTTGAACTTTTAAAAAAAATTTAGCACAACTTGCAAATTTATAATTTATATCATTTTTCTTCTTCCTCGCCTTAATCCCAACTACATGGGGTCGGCCAAGTATCAAGGTTTATAATTTATATAATTAAAAATAAAATTTTATGTGTAATATTATATTCTATTTTTTAAATTGATATATAATCAGAATGTTATATAATTACTATTAATAGTAAATTTATAAGGAAATCTCAAAATTTCTTTAAAAATGTTTTATTATATATTATTGTAATAAATCATTTAAATAGAAGTCTTTGTAATTATTTTTATGGAACTTTTGGTGTTTTAATAATTATTTATATTGATATATTTCAATAAAATACATTCTACTTGTTATGTATTTTTTTAATTAAAATATGTTAATTGATTATTCATACGCAACCTAATAATCAAACATAAATATTTGTTTTTTTAATAAGAAGGATTTTTTTATTATTTAGTCCTTATGCAACACTCTAATTAAAAATTTGAAACGGGCGTAAAAATGAGTTTAGAAAAGTATATTTTGGTCTATGATAAAAGTTCCTTGTAGACCAATAATTTATTAATAAGTAACAAGCAATTTTTTTTTTTTTTAAATATGTTGCATCAAGTCCTTCAATTTTTATACATGCTTACCATAAAAGTAATATCTACTTTATAATTTCTCCGTAAAAATTACAATTCTAAATAATTAAAATATCAATTTCATACTATATTTTCTAAAATAAATATTTATTTATATATTATACTTATAAACCATAAAATCTGTAATTAGTATATAAATAAGGGAATAAGAGTTTATTTTGCTTTTTGAATAATCCATCAATCTTTATGTTAACTCGTTATTGTCATATTTTGAAATTTCGTATTGAGGTGAAGACAGAACCAAAAGTAGAGAGAGAGAACAGTCGGAGAGAGTCACTCATTTACTAATCTGTGACAAGTACACAACTTTTCTCACTACATTCAATACTTTAAATTGATTTTATTTAATAGTTAAACATTCATATTTCCAAAAAAAATTAATATAATATATTAGAATAATTTATACAAAAAATCAATCAATAATTATTTATAAATAATTATTATATAAATATATTTATATATTTTGGATGTAAGCCAGTGCGTCAACTTGAAATCACACCGGGTAACTCCATATGAACTGGCACACTTGGGCTATTTATGAAAAACATTTTTTTCAATACATGCATACAAAAATCACCATGAAATCTGATGATGGAATACGGTGATACATTTTTGGGAACGCACTTGAGACATTAAAAAAATGTTATTTTGGGACTTAATTAGGCTATTTCCATAAAAGTAACTTATATTTTCTTTTAACTAATAAATACACATTGGGTTGAAAGGCAAATTATTCTGAGAGTATTTAAATATAGATGTACACTGTACATTGTACAGTGAACTTAAGTTGTGATTTGAATGTATATTTGTAGAAATTTGAACTGTGTTTGATATATTTGCTTCAAACTAATACATATATACATTAAATATTATATATTATTTGTATATTAAATTTAAACAATATACCATTTAAAGTCCTAGAAAGAATTATTAGGTTTTAAAATAGCATAAGAATCTTTATCTGGTATAAATTATTTTTATCAATATTGTAATAATTTATATTAAGTGATATTCAAATGTCAGCCAGTGATTATTATTATTTAATTAATACTGGTGTAAGTATTTTACCTTTAAATAAAAGTTAATTGATAACACATGATTTTTATTTCATTAAGATAATACACGTATGGATGTGAATAAATTTGTAGCACAAACGACCAAGTGTATCAGTTTTATTGAAACTCAGTATAAGTCGCGTTATGATAGTTTTCTCAACCATGAAGGAAAGATGAATTTAAATGAATTAAAAAGAGCTCTTGTAGTAGATGAAATCGGTCTCACACAAACAGCAGTCAATGGTTTAATCCCCATATATAGATTAACAGACACACGTGATATGAGCTTTATAGGTAAAATAATTATTACGTATATTTCTTTAGACTTATACTACCCATCTAATGCCAATGTAATATCTTTTAAAAAGTTCTCCTAACTACACGATCAAAGGTTAATCCGTCGCCAGGATGGTGAATGGCAATTCCATCTGATATATATAAAAGGCTTTACTTTTATTATGATCAAAATATTTTAAAAATTTTCAATAATATAAAAATAACCGATATATACACTTATATTTACTATCGATAATTGCTTTAATTTATAGCGATTATCAAAAAAAGTATAGTTGATAAAAAGTAATTTAATTAATTTATCAAGTTGAATTGATCAATTGAATTGAGGGAAATAGGTGAGAGTTATAAAATAATATACTAGGTAAGTCTAGTGCAAATAATGGTGTAGGGATAATAATGGATGAGGAGATGAAAAGTAAAGTAATAGAAGTAGCTAGGAAAAGTGACAGAATTATGGTCGTAAAATTGATATTCGAAGAAAAAGCGCTGAATGTAATAAGTGCCTATGCACCATAAGTGGAATGTGATGAAATAGAAAAGGAAGTGTTTTGGAGAGAGATGGATGAGGTGATGCAAGGAGTACCTGTCAATGAGGATACGGTGATAGGTGGAAATATGAATGGACATGTAGGTAATGAGAGGATAGGATATGAGAGAGTATATGGAGGGTATGGCTTTAGTGGTAAGAATGAGGCTGGAGAAAGAATCCTGGATTTCGCAGTATCGTATGTCCTTGCTGTGGTTAATACTTATTGTAGAAAGAGTGAAGAACATTTATAACTTATAAGAGTGGGAGGAATAGATTACAGATCGATTATTTTATGTGGAACAGAGAGAGCGTAAAGCGAGTAAAAGATTGTAAAGTTATATCAGGCGAGAGTGTAACTACACAACATAGACTGATGATAATGGAGTTGTGGTGAACCGGAAAGAGAATAAAAAAAATAGAAGAAACACGGGGGAAAAATCGAAGATCCGGTGGTGGAAATTGAAAGGGGAATATGAAAAAGAGTTTATAAAGACGGTAAAAGAAAGAACAGTGTGAAATGTCGAGGGAGACATAAATTTTATGTGGAATACATTTGCTAGTTGTGTAAAGAATACTGTAAAGAAGATTGTTGGTGAGAGTTGGAGTAGAATGTTAGGAAACAAGGAAACCTGGTGGTAGGATGGGGACGTTCAAAAAACCATAGAAAGTAAGACAAAGCAATTCAAAATATGGCAGAAGAGCAAAAGGAGGGAAGATTGGATGGAGTACAACTGCTTGTGCAAAGAAGCCAAGTGAACAGTAAGTAAGGCGAAGTTTAAGAGGTATGATAGGCTAGGAACAAAGGAAGGCGAGAAAGAAATCTATAGACTTGCAAAGGTAAGAAAGAAAAGGTGTAAAGATTATCATTACATAAGGTGTATAAAAAGTGTTGATAATAAGGTACTCTCGAGTGATGATGATGTGAAAAAAAGGTTGAAAGAGTATTTTGAAAAATTACTGAATGGGGAGTACCCAAAAGAGTTATTAGAGGATATCAAGTGGAATGAGGGACTGGTAGATTTAATTAGTGAGAAAGTGGCTGTGGCATCAATGAAAAAGAATAAAACAGTAGGACCAGATGAAGTGGCAGTAGAAGTATAGAAAATATTAGGCGGTGTTGGCATAAGGTGGTTGAAGGAACTTTTAAATAAAATCTTATTAGAAGAAAAAATTTCAAATGAATGGAGGAATAGTATTATGGTGCCGATATTTAAAGGTAAAGGTGACATACAGGAGTGTGGAAATTATAGAGGCATGAAGCTTATGAGTCATAGTATGAAAATTTGGGAAAAAGTAATAGATAAGAGAATAAAAAATGAGACATCGGTATCTAAAAACCAGTTTGGATTTATGCCTGGTAAGACAATATTGGAGCCAGTATTTTGTATGAGGCAACTAATAGAAAAGTTTAGGGTAAAGAAGAAAAAGATGTGTATGGTATTTATAGAATTGGAGAAAGCGTATGATAGAGTACCAAGAGAGGTTCTTAAGTGGGCATTAATGAGGAAAGGAGTACCAAAAAGGTACATTAATATAATAGAAGATATGTATGATGGCACTTGTACCAGGGTAAAAAGCGTAGGAGTATAAGAAGATTTTCGGGTAAGAGTAGGAGTGCACCAAGGTTCTGTTTTAAGCCCTTACTTATTCTCTTTAGTGATGGATGAAATTACTAGAGAAATACAAGGAGAGGTGCCGTGGTGCATGTTGTTTGCTAACAATATAGTGTTAATAGGAGAAAATAGGGAAGAAATTAATCAAAGGCTAGAGGTGTGGAGATCAGCTCTTAAATAAAAGGGTTTAAGAATAAGTAGAAGTAAGACAGAGTACATAGAGTACGAGTTAGAAAAAGTTGAAGATGAGGTAGGTGAAATGAGAAGATCAGTGACAATAGACGAGGACGTGATAAGAGAGGTGGAAAGATTTAAATGTTTAGGTTTAGTTGTGCAAAAGAATGGTGGTATTGAGGAGGATGTAAGACATAGGATTAAATGCGGGTGGTTAAAATGGTGAGAAGCATTTAGTCTGTTATGCAGTAAAAGAATTCCAATGGGTCTGAAAGGTAAATTTTACAAGACTGCAGTGAGACCAGCTATAATGTATAGTTCAGAGTGTTGGGCGGTTGAAAAAAAAGTAGAGCAGATAATGAGTGTAGTAGAGATAAGAATTCTTAGATGGATGAATGGAGTGACTAGAGAAGATAAGATAAGGAACAAATATATAAGAGGGAGTATAGGTTTAGCGTCAATTGTAGTTATGATGAGAGAAAATAGACTTAGATTAATTGTATTAAGAGAATAATTGTAAATTTAATCAAAAAAAAATATATATATGAATTGTATTCCAATTAGAAGATGGTAAATAGCCAACTACAGTATTTTGCTAGTTTTGCATAAATTATCAAAAGTATAAAATAATTAAAATTTTATGGTGCAAATAAAACTTAAGGAACAAATATATAAGAGGAAGTATAGGTTTAGCGTCAATTGTAGATATGATGATAGAAAATAGACTTAGATGGTCATGTTTTGAGGAGAGAGGATAGGAAGCTGTAAAAATAGTTATAGAAATTAATGTTGAAGGAAGAAGAGGTAGAGGAAGGCCAAAAAAGAGATGGAGGGATGCTATTGAATGCGATATGATGACAGCTGATGTGAGCATAGATGATGTGGGATATCGTGTCAAGTGGAAGTTTAAGATAAAGGTGACCGACCCCAACTAGTTGGGATTAAGGCGAGGAAGAAGAAGAAGATGAATTAGTCCGTGTATTAAATAAAAAATTGGCTTCTACTTTCTTTTAATTAATGAATGATATATTTTTTTATTTTTTAGACTTCAGAAATTTATTTGTGGAAGTAATATGTAACCAAATCAAGTCCAATGATATAATATATAATTTTCTGAACAGTATATATATTTCGTTTTACTTTTAAAAAAATTATAATACTAATTTATAATTTATAATAATAAATATTATTACACTTTAACTGTTTTCTAAATTATTTGATAATCTAAAATATTTTAAAATATACATCATAAAATAGGATTTTATTTTACCAGACTCTTTTAAAGGAAAAAGCAAATATTTTAAATGTGTTTTCATTTTTAATTTTAAAAATCATTTTCATTTTTGATTTGAAATACATTTTTCTTCAAATACTAAACAATACGTGCCTATTAAGTTATATCAAGTAATAAAATAAAAAAATATTAGCGATTTTTATTGTTATTGAACTCCAGTCACTGTGGTGATGTTACTGAAGAGCGGGGACCAAGTGTGCCCTAGCAGTCAATATTTTGTGAAGGCTAAGTTGTCATATAAAAAATTCATATATTATATAAATTTTAACAAATTTAATAAAGTTGATTGAATAATAACATGAACAAGAACATAATAAATTCTTAGCGTGAGCCATTATCACTTTTTTGTGCACAAATGTTTATAGTTTTATAATTAAGGTATTTCAATACATAATTCAAACGTACAATTACAATTATTAATATCTAATGGGTAATAGATAATTTATTACTTAAATCAAGTAAATATGGCAGTATTTGCTTAAAAGGTCAAGTCAAATAATTAGATCAATAGTATATAAAAATTAATTCGCATATAATGTTAATATCCAATGTTGGTGTAATCCAAAAAATGCATCTAATAAATTTCGGATAGGTAATAAACGGATAGACTTGAAAGGATTTCATAAAATTAATTCAAAAGCCAGATATTTAATGAAATTGACATTACAAATTGGACATTAAACACCTGCTCCCCCTTACCCATGCACTACTTCCAAGCTAGTTAAGTATATTATATTGCCGTTCAAAAAATAAAGTTAATATCTCCATATTCCGAAAAAGTACTTAATAACTGATGAATCGAGGAATAAACAGAGTGATTCTTTTAACATTATTCACTGATATCTGTAAATATTAGTTACAGTATTAGCTTCGATGTGAAGTTGAAAAGATATTAATTTTATTTAATGTTTTTTTTTTTTTTTTTTTTTTTTTTTTTTTTTTT